TGGTGTGAAAGTTAAACAGAGTGACGCAGATGAACAACAAATTAATTGTCATGTACAATAGGCTAAAATGTCTTCGATTGATGTCGGTCGATGTTTAGTTCATGTTACACTCTGAAAAAAACATTGATTTATTCCAATACGTTTGTCTCGTGCACATTTTTCGATGAAATAGAATTTTTGTATCGTCTCGTGCTCTATTTTGAGTTTGGTCTAGGCTATGCACCTTTTAAAATGTCTGTAACAATATAACTTGAATGATTAAAGTCAGAAAATGATCATTAATTGGTTCATTAGGAATTATTTGATGCAAATACTAGATCATTCAACCTTCAGACTGTACAAGTCGGAACACACTAACCATATTGATGAAATTCGCATTAAGTCATTGAGAGTTTATCGAACATTCCATCTCGCATACTAATCGTATCTGTGAAAATTACAGACAATCATGGACATTGCCAAATCTACCAGAAAAGATAGAGTTCGAAATGAATATAATACGGACACCCAATATAGACTGCTTCTTTTAGTGTAAACGCACACATACACGTTTTCTTTAATTTTTACTTATACACGACATTTCACAATTAAATATCACATTGACAATGAGTGTTCTTGGTTTTTACAGCTACTCAGAATGATCTGCTCATCAGTTATTTAGCCATGTGTATTACTTCGATAAAAGAATTTGTTTAGCATGAGTCCAACTAGATCAAGAAGATTCTCGTATGTTTGATGAAGGGACCAAGCGCGAACGCTCAGTCCACTGTGAAAAATAATCTACTCGAGGAGACCCTCGCTGATGTCAGCCCTATCCATGTGCAATGAGAGAGCCTCGACCAAGGACTTCCTTCTTTTTGGTCAAGGGAGTTCCAGTAGCAAGTAAGTATGCTCTTTCATTCACATTACTCAACCTCTTATACTTTTATGAACGACAAAAATTGCATAGTCGTGTTCTTCTCGACTTAGATGACTCATCATTTTGCTTTCCTCTTTCGTAATTACTTTTTTTATTCTGTTCTCTGAGTAGATTGAAATTTTGATAGATGGTATTAAAAAAACAAACTATAACAACTGCTAAAAAAAGACTCAACGGCATTATCATGCATCTTTCATTCAAATCTTTTTTAAGTTTACTATTCTACAAAGTTATTCAAACCAAAGTTCATGTAAAATAGGAAGAAGAAGACCAAAGTCTCTTAGATATCTAGACGTTTGCTATGAATCTTGATTTTTTTCTGAATAGTTAGCATAGATTTGACTAATTCTGAACCTTATTTTTGAGATTTGATGAAATTTTATAATAGTTTCGTATAGAGCGCTCAAAACTGAGCAGAGCTGCTATAAAAAAATTGACAACACCATGAATTATCAACACTAATAGGGTTAGTTATTGAGCATATCATGTTTTTCGAAAATTTTTTTTACATGAAATACTGCATTTCAAGTTAACTTTATTTTTGAAAATATAGACCTATATCTGGTTTATTTAATGGTAAATTTATTTCGAATGTAAAACTAGACTGTTGAATACAATATAGCTGATAAAAATTCGCAATTTAATCTGATTGCTCTGTTAAAAGAAGCGTGTCGTAATTCTATGGTGCGTTGAATACGAATGAATAATTTCGATGGATAATATACCGACTGCTTACATAATGGTAAAAGATACAACAGTTTGATGAACTATATCATCGATAACTGTGAGACTCATGCTAATACTTTCATATTTTCCAAAACCGTTAGTATTCAGAAGTAACCACTTATCGTTCTTCTTATGCATTTCGACTATTATAGCTTCGTGAGCATAAGATGTATATTTTTCAAAAAATTAAAAATCTTCTGATGAATTTTATTTTTACTTGCAGTTCAAGAAATCTGTATTTATTTTCTAGAATACATAGATGTATTTCAAGGTTTGAACTTGAGTGTATGTGTGAGTTTAGATATGAACTTCTGTCGGTAACTTATATACCGATAGTCTTACTCATATTCAAAAAGTGACGATCTTTAGAATCTGCACAAAATATTACATGAAGTAGTGTAGCCAAATCGAAACAGTGAACAATATTTTTTTATCGGATATATATAGGGACCGGTGTTACGTGAAAAATGATAACTTGTACTCTTCCATTTGATTGCGGCTATTCAATTTAATAACAATCCTGTCAAATTCTTGCTTTTAGAATTCTCGGAACCCTGATTCATTAAACTTCGTAGGAAAAATACGCTCTATGGAATGACCAGAAATAATTACATATTGAGAAATTTCAACATATAAGGACAGTCTTCCTTGAAATTTTAGAAGAGAAACTTCTGCTGATTTTTTTTGCTTGCATTATAAATTAGGTCCGGTATTCAATCAATATCGATCGAAATAAAAATAGCATAGCCCATATTTTTACAAATTTGAGTAGAAGACAACATTTGGAATCGAAATAGGTTGCTAGAATAAAGAAAGTTAGGATCTATGAAGATCCGATAAGAAATAGTTATAGTTTTCAAGAGAAAAACTGATGTCTGTCAAAATTCGAAATTAAAGAATAATAACTTTCACATTCTTCAATCAAGCAACGACAAAAATATGATATTCGTCATCAGCGTGATGAACTATATTAGTTTAGATTGGAAAACTTCAAATTTGAGAGAAAGTTCTTTTTGAGATCTATGGGAGAACTAACTATGTATAAAAAATTAGTTGTCGAATTCTAATTTTTTAATGAAAGCCACCGACTGACATACAAGCTTAAATTATTGTGCATGTAACGAGTTTTGTAAAATCGTGGAATGACACCTATTCAAACCGCCATATATATTAGTTGCTTTTTTTGTTCTTTCAATGCGCATTATGCTTCATTTGATTCAAGAAACTCAGCTAACCATAGCAAGATATGTTAATCTCATTTTGCTCTTACGTTTTTCATTTCACGCAGTGATGTGTTTCTTTTTAAAAACATATTGCGATGTTTCTTTAATATTCATAGAATGAACAACGCCTGTAAAATATTGGACCCCTCGATGAATGCAGGAAAAAGAGAACACAATTCTTTTTTTTGCATAGAAGAAAAGAATCGTCGAATAAAGACAATGTTTATCTTTTTCTCTTGTGAAGAACTTGAAAAAATGAGTTGGTATAAGCCTCGCCTATTTTCCTCTATTTGTCAACTAATGAAACATAATATTACATCTGAAAAATGTAAGAGAAAAGGATAAGAATCAGTCGCATTCCTTAGCTTTTCATTTGAAACATTAAAAAATTGAGTTCAATCAATAGCAATTGCCATAGTCATCGACGTCAATAAGAGATCGTTGCTGAATATTTCTTAAGGCTACTTCTTTCTTTCCAAAACCGATTTCGAGTCAGATACAGTCATATCGCTTGAACTTTTCAGAATATGTTACGACTCTAAAGAGAAGGCTATGATAAAGCTTTTCGTTCTATACCATGCGGTTGAAGAGAAGTATTCATCAAGTAAGAGTCAAAAATAGCTCATTTGACAATATATAATTCTCTGCAGGACTGCATTCTATATATTTAATACCTTTTTGTTTGAAACAGCGTGCTAGCATGCAAAACGTGACAAAATTTTTTATTTACTTTGATGCCCTTAGCTCGTTATTTTTCTTTTGCGTATTATCTTTTTCTTAATTTAACACTTATTATTCTTAATATTGACTTAACTGATAAATGAGCCTATTGTACACCTATATTACAAATACAGCATATCTTAAAGTACTATTATATGCCTCAATAAGCTTACAAGCATTGATACTGATTATTTTCCAACTTTGTCACTTGATCCTACAACGACTGTGGACATATCAATTCTTTCTTATCTATTATCCTTTACATTTTGAATATAAACTTTAAGAAGGCTTTGACATGTTCTAGAACAGTTTAGTTCTAGTTGTTCAACACCTTATTTCGTTACTAAAGAACTCTGGAAAAGAAACTATGATAGGAAAAGAGAGTCACAGAAATTCGAAGTAAATTTTCTATTCACTATATTTTTCTTCGAAAAGCATCATGTGAGTTGCGCAAATTGGTGTTTCAATTACAAAAATGCTCTTTTATTTAATAAGAGCAACGTTAAATTGGAAAAGCAACTTAGTTATGCCTTTCATCTTGACATGCTCTTTCAAGCAAAAAAGAACGAAGTAAATAGAATAAAAGTTCACAGAAAATTCTAAGCAGAAGGTAACACAAATCATCAAAAAATTCCTCAAAAAACGTAGGCGCCGAATAAAAAATCATACCACTTGTGAAAAAAAACTAGACGTCTGGCTGCCTTCTCATGCATCTATTTTAATTTTCATTATTTTTGTCACAATTCGACTTGTTTTGAGTAATAGCCTTAAGAAAAACTTCGCTAGTAACACATGTACACTTAGAGCGATTGATCTGAACTATATAGGTTGTGGATGTGGATGACGAAAAAATACACCCACATGCTATGCTTAAAAAAAGTATATAAATGAAAGTAACTGATTCTCTTGTAGACATGCTCAGTAACTTATTTTTCATCGTCAATTTCTCGATTTCAATACTAGCATCAACAGTCGGTTTCATGTTGTCTCTTATAATTATTATTACTGTTATCACTTGTCGGCCATGTCATTCAGTCCATAATCTTCTGATTTGCAATTCAAGTATACTTTGTGGTGTTTATTTTATTTCGAATTTCATCTCATCTTTATACGGCTTTCGTAATGATTGGGCAATTGCACAACCAGCGTGTAGTTTTCGAGCGTATGTGTTACTGGCATCATCTGTTTGTCTATGCTACTCATGTTCTATTCAAGCTATTAGTCGTCTATTTTTTGCCGTTTTCTACAACCATAGATATCTCCTTACGTACAAAGCTCATTGGTGTTTGATTGTACTGTGCTGGATTATTGGTAATTTATTTTCGAGTGAACCGCTCTTCTTCAAAGATGGTTTCATCTATGAACAAGAATCACGTTTTTGCACGCTCAATAGTCGACAAATCTCGGCAACAATGTTTTGCCTTGTAACTGGATATATTATTCCAGTCAATGTTGCCATACTTATTTATGGTATCATTCTTTATCATGTTCGTCAATCATCTCGACGAGTCGTCAATGTGGCATCAACCATTACAAATCGTCATATATGTAATGTAAGACGTGAAATGAAACTCGTACGAAATATTTTAATTCAATTGACTATTCTCTTTTGTGGTGGAGCACTGTGTTCGGTCGTAGTACTTTGGCAAGTGATAGGACCAGAAGGAATATCACCACCCGAACCACTTTACTTATTGAGAATCAATTCATTAACAGTTTTTATAACAGTGATGCTCATTGTATTGTTCGGCATGAATGCACAGGTGAAGAATGCTACTCTTGGCTACCTACGTCGGCAATGTAGATGTATCCATCTTGAGTTAAGGGATCGACGATAGAAACGACAAGAAATAACGATGGTATGATGATTAAGCACGTCAAAAACACAAAGAATATACTGAAGCATTTGGTCTTCAACTTCTTATAAAATGTATTGATTTATTGTTTGTGAAATGATTAGAAGAAACGACAAAGGTGCATAAGCAATGGAATTTAGGCAACTCATTGCTCATAGACAATTATCATCGAAGTCTTATAGGATCTTCGGTGTATAATCTCAGTATATTTTTATTGGTCAGTATTTGACTATAAAGTATACTTTTCGAAAAATATTGTACGTTCAGTTTTCTTGGGTAGAAAGAGTATTAAACTCTACATCATTTCAAGTAATAGATATGATTGTTTTTACGAACTATTGAGTACCATTATGGTACTCAATAGTTCGTAAAAACAATAGTATTTGATGCAGAATTTAATGTTTTTTCTAATTAATATAAACTGTACTTATAATATTGTTTTGTTTCTGCTGATGTTTTATGAAGAGAACATATTTGTTAAGATATTCAAATGTGGAAAAACAAGCTTAACTATTTGCAAGATGTGACATAATATAGTATTAAAATTTTTATCATTTGAAAAACAAAATATGTAGATAATGTAAAGAAATTTAGATAAAATTTAATATTATCTATTTATTTTTGTAGAAGATTTTGAAACTAATACGTTAGTTTTTGTGCTTTTCTGTAATTCATTTTCTCAATACAAGTATAAAATCAAATATCTAATGTCAAGTATGTCAATTAAAATTTTGTTTTCTATTATTTTCAATATTGATTTAAATAAAGACTTCGATGATTAAGTTTCAATCTATGAAATTGAATCCTTTGACTTATCTCATAT